CCTGTAATCCCAGCCTCTCGGGAGGCGGAGGCAAGAAAATTGCTTCAACGCAGGAGGCAGAGCTTGCAGTGAGCCGAGATTGCACCCCTGCACTCCAGCCTGGGCGACAGAGCCAGACTCCGTCTCAAAGAAAATAAAAGAAAGAAAAAGAAAAACAGAAAGAAAGAGCAGTGACAGGATTCTAGGGTTTGGAACTCTGGGTGGCAATTAGACACTGTCTGCATTTTGGGGGGTTGGAAAACTGAGGTCCTTGCCTGGAGCGGCTCTTGCCCAGGCCTGGTAGCAGAGAGGCAGAGTGTCGTGAAGCAAGGAACATGGACCTGCAATCAGGTTCGGACCGCAGCTTCTCCCGGGACTCGAGTGAATGGGACAGGCTCTGAGCTCCAGCCTTTTCCTTCTCCCAGGACTCAAGCGAATGGGACAGGCTCCAAGCACCAGCCTTTTTCTTCTGTAAGGTGGGGATAGGAGAGCAGAGCGGACAGGCTGTAAGGATTAAATAAGATGGCATGGAAGAAGGTGTCTCGCGTGCAGCTGGGGCATGATGGGCAGCCGCCAGTATCTCCCAGCCTCTGAGAGGGGCAGCCGGGCGGCTCGTGAGAGTGAGGAAAACAGGCAGAAGAAAGAGCCTGGAAGAATTTCAACCCAGAAAAGAAGCTGTGGCCTTCTGGGGGTCTTCATATAGTCTGAAAATATGAAGAATGAGCGAATGAATGAAGCAAGACCAGAGGCACCACAGCAGTGCCCCCATGAGCAGGGCACCCGCATGGCCCTTTCTGGCGCTCTGTGCACTTATGTTGGTTTAGTGTCTGTTGTTCCTACGGAAGTATGAGTGTCTTGAGATCGTGAGCTGTTCCTGTCTTGTTCCCATTTTCTGGCTAGCACTTGGCACACAGTAGGTGCCCAAAATACACATTAACAGTTCCTGGAAAAGACGTGCTGAGGAGGCCAAAATAATAGTTACAGAAATGAGGCAGGGCGCGGTGGCTCACGCCTGTAATCCCGGCACTTTGGGAGGCTGAGGGGGGTGGATCACTTGAGATCAAGAGTTCAAGACCAGCCTGGCCAACATGGTGAAATCCTGTCTCTACTAAAAGTACAAAAATTAGTTGGTTGTGGTGGTGGGCGCCTGTAATCCCAGCTTCTCAGGAGGCTGAAGCAGGAGAATCGCTTGAACCCAGGAAGGCTGCAGTGAGCCAAGAATGCACCATTGCACTCCAGGCTGGGTGACACAGTGAGACTCCATATCAAAAAAAAAAAAAGTCATGGAAATGAGAAAGCTGGAGGACTGAAATTACTAGAACCCCGCCCCCGAGTTGGGATTCAGGCTCTAAATTAATAGTGGGTTTCCTGCACCAACCCTGAAAGAGTTAATAGCGGGCTTTCTGCACCAACCCTGATAGAGGCCAGCATCTGCTTTACTTCTCTCTCAGCCCAGGGGTTCTCCATCCAGGGCCTGGAGGTGGGGCCCCGACACTGCAGGATGCTTTGCACCCTTCTGAATCGAGGAGAGCAGAAGAGGAAACCAAGGCTTGGGGAGCAAACCGCTGCCTGCTCTGGTGTCCTTCAGGGTTGTCCAGCCATGAGACGGTGCGGGGAGGCAGCTGGGAAAACCGTGGGCTGCCCTCTCCTGGGAGGGGCTGGGAGCTTTCCATTTACTTTCCTTGGGGCAAATGCCTCTTATCCATCAAGGCACAGATCTGAAGCATGGGACATAGAGCACTGGCTCACTACATCACCACTGCTGTAATTACTGTTTATGTCGAGTGTATCTCCTGAGATCTCTGGAGCCCTCTGCAGCCTGGGGAAGGTTTGGGCTGAAGTTCCCTGGGGTCTGGGAGCTGTCTTGCTCAGCAGGGTTTTTCACAGTGCCCTAGGGTCTTCCTGTGAAAAGCAAAACCTAAAGCGGCCATCAGGAGAGCAGGAGGGGACTAAAAGTTAGGGCGTGGTCAGTTCTATTCTGCCTGCCTCCCGGAAGGGTGCCCGAGGAGCAAGGTGCACCCCTGCCTGCCCATCAGATGCCCAGGCAAATGATGGCCTTGCCAGGCTGATGGTCTTTCCTGGGGACTCCACTGGTGGTTGGGAAGAAGTTGTATGGCAGTGCCCAGGGAGATGATCACAGAGATGTAGAAGGGCCTGGAGGAGATTATCAGCCAGGGGACTGGGACTCATAGGAGGGTGTCTCCGAGGACTCAGGGACATTCCGTGGGGAACAGAAGAGACCCAGGAGTCTCTGTCTTCACACACTGCATTTTGGGAGTTCTGAAATTCTGGAGAGTAGGAGCCTCAAGTTATCTTTTATCTTTGTGTCTATAGCTCCCAGCTTCTGGTCTGTGGGAAAGTGAGTTCCTTGACTTCGGCCATAGTCAAGGGCAGCCCCTCAGGAGGGGTTAATTAATTAATTAATTAACTTTTGAGACAGAGTCTTGCTCTGTTGCCCAGACTGGAGTGCAGTGGCCGGATCTTGGCTTACTGCAGCCTCCACCTCTTGGGTTCAAGTGATTCTCGTGCTTCAGCCTCCCGAGTAGCTGAAACTACAGGCTGGTGCCACCATGCCCGGATAATTTTTTTTTTTTTTTTTTTGAGGTGGAGTCTTGCTCTGTTGCCCAGGCTGGAGTGCAGTGATGCGATTTTGGCTCACTGCAAGCTCCACCTCCTGGGTTCACGCTATTCTCCTGCTTCAACCTCCCAAGTAGTTGGGACTACAGCTAACTTTTTGTATTTTTAGTAGAGACCGGGTTTCACCGTGTTAGCCAGGATGGTCTCGATTTCCTGACCTTGTGATCCGCCCGCCTCGGCCTCCCAAAGTGCTGGGATTATAGGCGTGAGCCACCGTGCCCAGCCCATGCACAGATAATTTTTGTATTTTTTGTAGAGGTGGGGTTTCACCATGTTGGCCAGGCTGGCCTCGAACTCCTGACCTCAAGTGATCCACCCACCTCGGCCTCCCAAAGTGCTGGGATGACAGGCATGAGCCACCACGCCCAGCCAGGAGGGGTTAATTTGTATTAATCATTAATGAGACCAGGGACAGTGGAGGCCTCTCCCCATCATAAGGTTGCACAGACACATTTTGTGGCATTGCTGTTCGGCCATGGGTTGCAAGATGCGAGTGGGCTCTGTGGGTGTGATAAGAGGAGAGATTCTCCCTGGCACCCATGAGTTGTCTTTCCATTGGCAGGCTATCCTATGACCTCCCTATCCTTTGCTCCTCTCCAAGATCTTTCCCTCTTTCCTTTCACCTGCTCCAGGCATAAGCATGAGCCTCCTCTCTACCTCCACAGAGGAGGCTCAGGGAGTGAGGCAGCCTGTCGAGGACAGGGACAGATCAACACCACCCAGGCCGCCCTCACACTCAATCCTGGCTGGAATGTGACCCACAGCTGGGTGTCCCTGAACACACACCTTAATCCCTCAGGTGTGAGCTCAGCTGCCTTTCTTGTCCATGTTGGGAGAGGGACAGGTCCTCTCCCTTCATCCTGGGAGCTGGTATGTGGGAGGGGCACACGCTTGCCCACCTTCTCCTCCACCAGCGTGGCCGGGGCAGAAGGGCTTGGTTTACAGGAAACATTCTGTTATCCCACACAGTGATCTTGCCACACTGGTAATTCACCTGGACTCTGTGGGTGGGCGGGGAGGCTTCCTGGGTAGAAATAGTTGGCGGATGCTCAGAGTTGGGGTTAGAATGCTCCCTCAAGCTTTCCACTGGAGACGTGTCTCTTGGGGGACAGGCAGGCTGGGAAGAAGCTGGTCTGCTCGGGGTCTAAGAAGGGAAATGAAATAGGGGGTTTTGGAAGCCACCTTCCAGACATGACTTCTTATACCAAGCCTGGACCAGCTGTAAAACCCAGAGGGCAGCCAATCTGGCTGGTACCTTTGCCACAAGATTCCTTCTTGAATTGGCCAAGTGACCTGTTGCCTCTGGTTCTGATCTTAGTGAAGACAGGGGTCCCAGGGAAGCTCCAAGCCACTGTACTTAGAGTCTCTGGGCCAAAGCTGGACTGCCAGGACTGTTAAATTGCAGCCATTGGCTGGGTGCGGTGGCTCATACCTGTAATCCCAGCACTTTGGGAGGCCAAGGTGGGTGGATCACCTGAAGTCAGGAGTTAGAGACCAGCCTGGTCAACATGGTGAAACTCTGTCTCTACTAAAAATACAAAAATTAGCTGAGCATGATGGTGGGTGCCTGTAATCCAGCTACTTGGGAGGCTGAGGCGGGACAATCGCTTGAACCTGGGAGGTGGAACTTGCAGTGAGCCGAGATTGGCCCATTGCACTTCAGCCTGGGCAACAGAGAGAGACTCCATCTCAAATAAATAAATAAATAAATAAAATTGTAATCATTGTGTATTATTGTTATGCAGGAAGGTTGGCCAAACATTTTGGGTGAATAGTTTCCATCTTGTGTCACCCTCAAACCAGAACTTTGCAAAGAACTAGGGTGCCTAATCTGAAGGTTTTTTTTTTTTTTTTTTTTTTTTTGGAGATAGGGTCTTACTCTACCACCCCCATGCTGGAATGTAGGGGTGCAATCAGAGCTCACTGCAGCCTCAAACTCCTGGACAATCCTCCCTCCTCAGCTCCTGAGTAGCTGGGACTACAGACATACATCATCATGCCAGGATTTTTTTTTTTTTTTTTTTAACAGATGGGGTCTCCCTATGTTGCCCAGGCTGGTTTCAAACTCCTGGCTTCAAGCGATGATCCTCCCCCCTCAGCCTCCCAAAGTGCTGAGATTTACAGGTGTGAGCCACCACACCTGGTTCGCTTAAGTTTATTGATCAAAATAAAGTTTCTTTGAGGCCTCAGAAGGTTCTGGAGATAATGACCGAAACTTGCTGCCGGCTGTGCCGAGTGGAGACCAGTTGACCTTCTCCACCATTGTTTTATCTCACCAAAGCCTTAGCATAGAGCCCTTCCCAACCACCCTACCTGCGGGGCGGGACCCGCCCGCCACACCCGCCGCATCTTGCTGGGGCTGACTTCCCGATTTGTGTCCACAGGCTGCTGAATAGGATGTCCTCAGACGACAGGCACCTGGGCTCCAGCTGCGGCTCCTTCATCAAGACTGAGCCGTCCAGCCCGTCCTCGGGCATCGATGCCCTCAGCCACCACAGCCCCAGTGGCTCGTCCGACGCCAGCGGTGGCTTTGGCCTGGCCCTGGGCACCCACGCCAACGGTCTGGACTCGCCACCCATGTTTGCAGGCGCCGGGCTGGGAGGCACCCCATGCCGCAAGAGCTACGAGGACTGTGCCAGCGGCATCATGGAAGACTCGGCCATCAAGTGCGAGTACATGCTCAACGCCATCCCCAAGCGCCTGTGCCTCGTGTGCGGGGACATTGCCTCTGGCTACCACTACGGCGTCGCCTCCTGTGAGGCTTGCAAAGCCTTCTTCAAGAGGACCATCCAAGGTGCGTGGTGGGCCTCGCGGAGCCTGGGTGCGGGGTGGGGGGTGGCAGCCCTGCCTGCGGGTCCGGCAGAAGCCCTAGGAATTCCCAGAAACTGCCAGTTCTGGGCGCTGTTGGAGCAGTACTTCTGTGGGGCGCCTTTTCCCTTGCTCAGGGCTTCTCGCTCGGGGACTGGACAGCTGCAAGACTGTTGTTGAGATGACATGCTTTCCCCACCCCCTTAGTTCCCCCATGCAGAGCCCCAGAAAACCAAAAGAAAATCCACAGGAATGCCAAACCCTGGGTGCTTCTCACTGGTGTGGGGTACACTGTCAAATGTGTGTCCCTCAAAAAGTTTATTTTGTGCCGGGGAAAAACACAACATAATTTGCCCTGCAATTCCAGACTTGTGGGACATATGAAGAGTCCCTCACCTTGTTTTTGTCTTTCTTACTTATACAAGTAAAACGCCAGACGTGACTCATGCCTGTAATCCCAGCACTCTGGGAGGCCAAGGCCAGAGGATAGCTCAAGGCCAGGAGTTGAGACCAGCCTGGGCAAGACAGTAAGACCCCAACACTAAATTTTTTTTTTTTTT